TGAAATATTCTGAAATGCTTATTGCAGAAATACTAACAGCAGCACTCACTGCTTGCTTTATTACTATGGGTAGTAATATATCCAGATATATATACCGATATATGTATACTTCAGGCAGAGGAAACATGTTTTCAATTATAAATATCTTTCTCTTAAAATTATTTATTTAAACTTAAAAAGGAACTTAGGAAGCAGAATGAAACTGATGGACTTAAAATTCAAGTTTAGCTTTATCTGGGATCTGATTAAAATATTTAATACCAACAGTCATAAATGCAGTAGTTAGTCTGTCAAAAAGTGTATGATGACACATTCTTCTTTATCTGCCCATTAAACTGCTTGCTTCATCAGAAATTGACTGTCAGCATTCAAGACAAAAGGGTATGATTTTTTTAATGTTATTGACCAGTTAAGATACCAGTTCCCATTTAAGATGTACTTTTCTTTAGTCACTTAAAACCAACAACTACTCAGACCATCTTTTGGGTAACTGGCAGCAAATCTCTGCCCATCCAAATTTTTCAACTATAATGTTGAAGCACAACTGAGAGAAAAGACTTCAAGCCATGAATCAGCAACCAAGAAAAATATGATTAAGAATTGCCATGAAATTCATCCATACTAAAGGACACTGAAAAGTTACAGATCAGAACTATTTGTGCAGTACCCTCAAGCAGTGCTTCAGCTGAGATAGCAGCACTCAGTGAAGTCCATAGCTTTAAAGAAAAAACAAAAACCACTAACACACAAGTGTACTTTCAGATTTTTAAACTGCTCTCCCACATAGCCTGAAAGACAAACATTGTGATTGTTCTGCAATACTATACACTAGGCTTTTGTGGACTACTCATGTAAGCTCATCAATGCAATCTTCAAGATCCATCTCCTGTCCACAGCTGTGTTTGACCTCTACAAATTAATTCAGATGGAGCAGTTCTCTGAAATTTATACATTATTATTAAGCTTCCATTTAGAAAATGAAAATTATAATAAAAAAATGCTTTAATGAATATTCCGAATATATGGAAGAACACTGGAATGCTCCCAGCATCCCACCCTGAGATTGACAAAGCCTAAATATTCGTGCACTGTAATGACATTTCCTTGCTTCACAACTGCCTCCACACCTAAAGGAACTAGTTTAAAATTTTGATATAAAACATGTGGTCAGGCTCCCATGAAACACTATGGCTTACCTGAACTTTATAGAGACATGAAAGCAGTGTAGTGCTTCTGTGAGGCCAGAAAGGCTGAATGTACTAAAGTTTTTATAATATTAACTCTACTAATAGAATTAAGGCATGCATAAAAACATTCATTTTTTCAGTGTGCCAAAATTTAAATAATTACAAACATTTTTAGGATAGGTTGAAACACCACTTAACCTCACATATAAGTAAAGAAGTTCCAAGGTTTTCTCAAACTTCTCATGGAACATTATTTGAGAAACCAGTATAAGCATACATTTGTCTGGAAGACAACATTTAGCTATTACACATAAGAAGTAAGGCCATATTGAAATTAGAATTTCAAGTAAGTAAATTTGGGCTTGTTAAGAAAGCCTTCTAAAGTAATTTTACAGCTTGGTTTTCAGAAGTCTGTATTTGCAGACTTTATTTCAAAGCTGTACCTTTGTGCAGAGAAGTCCTGACTTTCTTATTTGTGCTCAGTTTATTCCCAGAGAAATATGCAGGTCTATTCTTCAGAAGTACTTGTTCAACAACAGAAACTGATCAAGTCAAATGTCAACATCCACTTCTTTTCCATTTTTTTTTTTTTTTTAAGATGTCTTCCCTCACTGTGCAGATTTGGAGGCTGCTAGTATAATTCATGTGGTTACATTTCATTAATTTATATTTGCCCCTTGATATACCTTTAGCTCAGAAGTCAACTTTCAAAAACATCCTCAACTGAAAGTACTTCATTATCCCAACTACAATTTCTCCACAGTCTCAAAATGCCTCCCTAAAAAAACAATATGCCAGGTTTACCCTCCATTTGAAATAAACAATCTAAAATAAGGAAAAGCCAAAATACAAATATTTTGGTTTTATTCTACCAACTGATTAACAACAATCATGATAAGGAATTAGAGAGTATGATTCAGGCAGCAGTGGAAATAAAAACATTTCTGTAATTTACTTAAAATAGCTCAAAAGAAACTTCAGTTCTGAATAGCAGATGCTTTATTCAGATTGTGCCAGCATGCTTTTGTTTTTGTAAAGAAGTATCAGAACTTTGATTTTCAGTTTCACATGTACCGTACTTGGAATATTTTGGGGGTTTTGTGGTTTGTTTTTTACTGGGGGGTGGGTGGTGGTTGTTAAGAAAGAAAATAACTTTCAGAGCAAGTTAAAGCTGTAGAGGAAAAGCATGCGTGCATTGTCAATCCCTGGTATAGGTGTCTCATTTACAAAAGGATCATGAAATAAATGTATTTAATATTCCATTTTGTTGCCACCAACACATATAGCATTTTAAAAATCCACATGTTAAGCAGAAAGCCTGTTACACAAAGCTGTATGTACAGGACAGTATTTTCATAGTTCTTCTAACTTTCAAAGCAAAAGAACTTTGTATGCTGCTGCAAGCAAATCATATATATATTTCTCCCACCAAGGAAACTTTAACATGAGTACTGCTTTAATGCAGATATGTTTTACCCAGTTACCTGGATTTCCCTATGTACTAAACTTTAATGCTGCCCCCCAACCATGTTGGATTTCAGATAGTTTCCATACAGTTAATTCACAATTAATACTTTAACAATAAAAGGTAAGAAAATACTGTCTTGTTTATGGACATATCTACCTGCTCTAGAGGGACATAGCACAATTGCAGCCCTCATCTCCTAGAGCAGACTGGTTTTTAATTTACCATCTAACACTGTCAGTGCAACCAGCGTGACACAAAATTCAGCACTGGATGGAAGACACGAACCACAGACTGGAGACCGTGCCACTGCCGAATGCCACGCTCAAACTTAGTTCAGGTGTTTGTGAGAAAATGCAGTTACAGCAGTATGATGTGCATCTAGACTCATGAAGACAGCTGTGCTCCCCTTCTCAGGGCAGGGCACACTCAGACTTGACACATAAAGCTAACATAAGATTTCAAACTGAAGCTGCAATTGAAAGCTTTGTTTTCTATGCAGGTCACTTCAAAATAACTACTTCCCAAGGTCAATTTTTTTAATTCATCTTCCTAAAATTCAACGCATTATGAAAAATTGTTAGGCAATTAAGAAAAAAACCCAACTGTGTAATTAATCTTTTAAAATCTGTCATGCATAAAAAAAGATAAAACATTTTCCCAAATTATCTCGCTTGAAAATACACAATCAACTAAGTAAGAATGCTGAATGTTGCCTCAAAAACTCAAGTACAACTGACAACTTTCTTCTGAATATTTCGACTCAATCATGTACTCATACAATGAAGGGGAAATTCAACACAAAGTCTACCTTATAGGCCAGAATTGAGCTAGATAATAAAACAGAGAAATCAGAAGTACTGCATTTTTCTGCCACATAAAGCAGCTTCCAGCAGCCTGCAACAAAGTTCTAAAACCTTCCTATATAAAAGCAGAATGTGACAAGAGATATTAAGGTATTTTTTGAGATAATGTAGTCTTTAAAAAAAAGCTGAAATGAGTCTCAGGGGCTATTATCAAATGGAATGTCACATAGAACATGTGTAAATTGGAGGTTCGAAGAGGTTATTGAAAGATTCCAACTGACAACACAGAAAAAGTAAAAATGGCAAGTTTTTTATTTTTTTACCAAACAGCTTTCAAAAATTTGAGGAAACAAAAGCAAAAAAGTTAAAATGGTTTTTCAGAATATTAAACTGAAAGCAAACCTACTTAAGGAACACACACCCGAATTTCATTTCTTCTTACTTCCCTTTCTTCCATTCTGTATCAGTTAAAGAAAAGCCAAGGTACTTTGTGAAGTAATGGTAATTTTGTAATTTGCAATTTGTAATTTGGTAATGGATCTCAACCTCAGACACAAACATCTAAGATTTATAGATTAAGATGCTTTTAAACATTAAAAAACATACCAAATATTTAAAAAAATAATAATCAAACAGCAAAGAGTACTGAAAATATTTATATGCAAGTAGAATCTTGAACCTGCTGCTAGCGTACTCTTAGATCAAGCACTAATATCAGAACTAGAGCAGTAACAAGCCTAGAAACACTTTAGGTGATACCCAGGCTTTGAAAAACAGCTGTTTATGCCAACCCAAAGGAAGGAGGGGCCAGAAGCTATTGGTATTTGTGTAGGTAACCTATTGAAACAGTTCCATACACCTGGAACTGTACACCTCTGCAGACACAAGGTCAGTTTAAGGAGTTCCCGTTCCCTACCTAAGTTATTAATTCCTATTTATCCCTACTGATATTGATCTGCCTTCAGAACCAAACCCCAAAACACCACCACACATTCTGAAACTTTAAATTGGAGAGGAGAAAATGGAAAACTGTTGGTCCGGGTTTGATCTCCAACCTAATTCATATGGTGCTTCAACAATTTCCCAGAAAAAAAACAAACAGGATGACACTTCTGACAAACAAGCTTCTTTTACAGTACATATGCATGGTAACACAGAGTTATTCCAGTGGAGAAGATCCTCCACATTCAGAAATGGGACTTACCATACTGAAGACTACAGTTCGGTAGGATGAAGAAAAACTTAGTACTAAAATAAAGTTGCCAGAGCAGAAGCAACAGTCCTCAAAAGCTGAAATTTGTTTTCCTTCAACACAGCAGGACAGCACAGGTTATGACCTTCAGCCATGAGATTTAAATGTATTTGAAAGCTTAACACTGAAAGCAAATCATACTACCTCTTTTTTCCCCCTTTTCTGTTCAAGAAGTTAGCCCCAAAAGTAACACCTTCCTTTTTTTCTTATTTATTGTAGGAAGAAAATGCTACATTTCCAGGACAAAAAGGAAACATGTCAGTATGACTAAGCATAAGAATTGAGCTTACAGAGAACTGCAGACCCTGTGCATTCACGAGGCTCCCAGCTGCACAGTCTGTCACTCCACAGGACCTCCCCATTGAAGCATCTTTGTAAATCCAAGCTGCAAGTCCATCCAGCCCAGCATCCCATGTCAAACTGCAACTATCTGTGCATGCTGTGATAAAACCACAGAACAATCTCTGAGAAACTCCTCCCACTAGATTCTTTCTCGCTTTCAGCAGCCAATAGTGGCTTCAGGGATGAATGAGAGGAAGGTACCTTCACATTAATTTGTCTGATTTGTTTTTTATCTGCTGTATCTTTCATCTGTTGGTTCTTATGTAGACTGCAATCTAGAAACTGAAGGCATGCCATGTGAAATGACCCAAGGTTTAAGAGGTTTAAAAGAGACTGAGCTGACCTCAGGGAAAAAGCAAAAATTGTGTTCATTCACCACACCACAAAACTAAAAAAACCCCCTTATGTTGAAAATAAATGTAGCAAATCCCCATTGTTTATTTGAATATATATGCCACCTTTGTGTACAAATGTAGGTCACAGAACAAACCCCCACTGTTACAAATCAGAAGGACTGTAGGCTGGGGGATACAATAACTTAAAAAAATTGGCATAAAGTCACACACACACACACCCCTTGAACTTCCTGCTTCTTCTAAAACTCATCCAAGTATTAAAAGAGCTGTAACCATCAAATCTGATCCTGTAGGCAAGTCAAAAGAGAGGAGAGTGCTCAGGTATCTTCCTGAGGTATTGAGAAAACACACTTGTCTACAGGTACAGTCTTTGTTTTCTTTTTTTTTGCTTTGACTAAGTTTATCTTGAAAAGGTCATTGACTTCTATAGGCAGAAGACATTGCATGTCTTTGACTTAATGCCACACTATCAGCATTATTACACAAGAATGATGCAAGAAATTCCACTGTTTCAATGCTCAAAAAATGTTACACCAGAAATGCCATTATATGCAACTGAATTTAAACTACACTAAGAATTATCCAATGAATTATTCAATGAGTAAGTTCCACTCAAATCAAATGGGCAGAGAGAAAAACCAGAGTGACCTACTTGACCTTCTGGGGACGGAAGAAGGAGAAACTGTAGAGCTACAGTTTATGTCAAAACTCTGAAGGAAGCTGTCTGTGCCAGCAGACATTCAACACACACATCTGTCAGGGTTATCATTATATACAACCCAGAAGAGGAGAAGAAAGGCAAGTTCGACTTTATGAAGGTTTTCCCTTGGGCAATTATATTAGCAACAAATTCTTAAAAATACGATCTGTTTGCACCATGGCATGTTAAAAAAATGATTTCTAGGTTATACAAAAAAAAAATAAATCAGAAGGTGATTGTAATTACTAAAAAGTATAAAAAACCCAACAAAAACCAAACCAAAACAAACAAAAAACCAAGCCAACAAAAAAGCCACCACCACCACCAATCAAAACCAAAAAAACCCCCAATAAAAATCCTAACAAACAACAAACCTGAACAAAAAACCCCACCAAAAAACCTAAACAAGTGTCCAGTTAGCTTCCTCCCAAACAGTAATGTTAAAACAGAAACATTTTGTGTCCTGGAACATGTTCCTTGGGATCTCAGTAGCTCTTCCTGCTCTAGTCACTGAAGTTTCTGACAAAGAAGTCTGTAATTTCCTGCTTTGCAAAACTATCAAAACGACTGTCACTTTTTCAGCATTTAACAAGCAGACAGGAACAGATTACTGTACTCAGATGGTGCTAGTGTTTTATTATCACACCGGAAATGGAACCTCAGCTATGAAGGGAAGCTGGCAGCAGAATTTAAGATAAACAAAACAAAAAACCACCTCAGATTTCTGAGGGAATCTACAATAAAAAGGCAAAGCTTAGGAAGAACATGACCACACACTGATCAAGAAAGATGCATTCTCATAATCTCTCAAACAGAAAATTCAATACACACATTAAAGTGATATTTGTCATAACACAGAACCATTAAGACAAAGAAGATTATTAATGAAAGTTTAAGAAAGCTTCATAAGGACTCGTCTTGCAAAGCCAGTGAACAAAAAAGCATTTTGCTGAAGTCAGCTGCATGCTTTTGGTTTCTCTTATCTGACTAAGAAAAAGCCCTTCTCTTTTCTTGCATTGCAGCTTGCAAAAATTTCTATGAAAAACAGTTCTTGAGAGGCAGATATTTGAAAAACAGAAGTTAACAGTCAAGCACTGTTAAAATACCTGAGCATGTTTGACAAAGCAATTTGATTATTACATTAAGAAAACTAAAATGGCCAGACAAAGTAAAAATACAGCAGTTTGTTTCAAAAACTAGAAGAGGAAAATGCATGTGTGACTTAGCCTTACATCACTTTTGCACTGAATTATTCCAAATACCATACTACACTATTGTTGACTTGTGTAACAGCATAATTAAATAAACTTAAAAGTTATGATCAGCACAGAACTGAATTTTACTATTCACAGATCAGCTCTCCTTAGATGGCCTGTTTAAGTAATAAACAATTTACTGCAACAGAGCTTTCAAGAGCACAACAGGAAGTGTTTCACTGGAGGACTTTGTTTTCCTGCACTGCAGAACACACTCACTGGGACTGTACTCTGTGCTACCTTTCGACTTTCCATTAAGTCCACAGCAAAGTCAACATCTGCTAAAGATTCAGCTGCATGAGGTAAGCTAAAAACAGTACAAGGTACTTGTTACCTGTAATTTATCTCAGAAGACTTTTATAGCAGTAATTTTAAAGAGTCATTTAGGGGAAAAAAAAAACAACTTTAGATCTGCTTTTTTTTTTTATGAAAGTTGTTTTTCAGTACATAAAATGCAGATATTTATCCTATAAACTTACTGTCTTTACACCAAAAGCAAACTAGTGTCATTCACATATAATACATTTAGTTGAAAGTGCAAAATAAAGGAATCATCTAATTTAGGAGATGTTACTGTGTAACTACCAGCTGGATGTTCGATTTACAACTTATTTCCAGTTTCATGGTGCATTAGAAAGTAAGCTATTTATCCATATCCTCTGGTTATCTCTCATCCACAGCACACCATATCGTAATCTCTCTTCAGTCCAGGATCCAATAAGAAAAGGGAGGTGTTCACATTTATGTAACAGCATTAATTTAAAAACAATGTTCTTACCAAGAAGAAAAAAGAACATGAAATCTAGCCCATGGATGGAAGTGTTGTCAAAAAATGTGCAACTTATCTGAACTTTTACTTTATTCAATCAACATATCCATTGTTTTCCTCCCTTATGAGGGGCAGCAAAATACACATGTAAGAAAAGTAAGCAAAAATGTCTATGTCTAACTTAAAATATAAATGCACAAATGCCACTAGTGTCTGGTGGGGTGAGGCAGGGGGATGGGGAAGAAAATTATATCTTTGTCTGAATCTTTTTCTCATTTAATATATTCACCAGTTAGTACCATTTTAAGCAAACTGCAATATTTTAATCAATGCACATTAAAAGAAGTTTCTAGTGTGAAACATTGTTAAGCTGTCATAAAATCAAAATACATTAGAACTATTCTGGTATTAATGATGGGATCTAAGTATGTATGTACTTTTCAGGACCTCCTGGGTAACAGACACTGTTAAAGAGAATTCAATAAATTTAATTAAGTTTTAGACTGAAACATAGGTGTAATAAGGAAAGAATACGCACTTAATTTTAAATCTTATGTTTGAAAGTAATCTATACAATTGTGCACCTACAAGAACAACTGTATTTGAACTAGCAAAGCATGAGCATTTGAGCTTTCTGGTAAGAAGCCAGAATCATGAGCCCACCTCCCAAAATCTAGTACAGAACCTATCTACAGAAATATTTTGTCCCTCCTCTTCTCCCTACTGTTTAGTACAGTGAGGAACAATGAATGGAAAACATGTGAAACACCAACAAAAGCAAACACAAAGAGGCCATAAATGATAATGCTGAAGAGGTCCAGAGTTTCAGCAAAACAGTTTCCCTGTCCCTTTTCCTTGCCACATCTCACTGGCAGACACAAATCCTTACCAACACAGACTACAAGTTTCAAGGCTGTCAGAGAAACCATATTGTCTTACAAAAGGTCCAGCAGATTGATGGCTTGCAAGTGTCATCATTTCACTTCAGAACTAACCTAAAAGTTCCATGCCTAGTAACTTCATGGCACTTAATTCACTGAGATATTCTTTCTGCATTGTAGTTTAAACAGGAATTTCTGAAACTAAATGTGTATCAGTGAGTTTTTACATCAATTTATTACCAGTTTCTCATGAAATCTCATGTAGTTTTGACCATCACAATGCTCTAAAATTGCAAAGGCAGTAAGTGAATTCTGTGCTTTCAAGTGTATCTTAATCTGGTTTCCAGAGCTTTTCCACTTCATTTTATTTCAGAATTCTAAAGGAAGGTTAAACTAACATTGACTGAATTTTCTGTTTAAAAACCATCTCAATTTCTCTGTGCAACAACAAATCCTGGTCAATTAAAATTATGACCTAAAAAAAAAAAAAGCACCAAAACTTACTAGCTGAAATTGGTGGATGAAAGTCTGTCATCACAAACATTTAACCAAAAGCACCTCAAGAAAGATATGTATTTTGAGAAAAGCAAATTATCTTTGCATATATTCTTATCCAAGCATTATTCTTGGAAGATTCTTAACTACCTCCAACTTCTAAGTAATTATGTAAATAACATTTAATACTGTGTACTCATTCCTTAACAAGTCAGAATAAACCACATCACTCGGAGCAGACTGGCTGATAAATGCACCCTTCTACTTTGCTCCCACTTTCACCTTTGAAAATAAAGGGCACTATATTTCTGAAAAAGGTGTAAGTCTACTGGTGACTATTTTCCTGAATTGCTCCCTTCCCATCCCTGCCTTCACATAAAAATAGCTTCCCAATTCATATGAAAGTATCCAAGAAGCAGTTTCATTTTCTAAAAAATGTCAAGCCTCCCAAAGGCGCTTCCAAATTTAGGCTTCACATTTAAGTAGCTAAATCTGTATTTCAGCTGTATTCAAAACCAACCTTCACTTTCACCAAAAGCAATTCTAGTTAAAGACAGCACAGTAAAGAAAAAGAAATAGAAGAGGCATTCCTTTCCGGAGGACATGTAAATCAAATACCAACATTAGAAATTCAGAACTATTAAAAATTAAAATATAAAAATTAATTTAAAAAATTTGAGTAACTAAAGTGGGGTTTCTTTTCTGTATGAACATTC